CCTTCGAGGTTTTTTGTTGTTTTTTTGGGGGTTTTTTTGTCTTGTTCAGGAAGCCATCCGTAAAGTGGACAGTTTCGCGACACTACAGTCAAACTTGACAAGTAATCAGATTATTGTGACACTACAGTCAGACTTTACAAGTACTCTGGTTATAGCGAATTCCACGGGCAGAGAGCTTTCTCACTGCATGCTCTTCATAGCACCGAACTTAGTATTACCATTAAACAAGCATAGTTGATTATGTAATATTTGCTGTGTTCCTTGGAAGTCATACGGCCACGATGCATGGGGTAATGACCAAAAGCATATTCACCGTAAGGTTTTTTGTCCGTCTTGTAATATGCTTCAAATGAGTATAAACAGATACAATATTTCATTCTGATAGGTGTGCTTCGATTACATTACTGTAATTGCAACTTGTAAGACATATTGAATCAAGTACAGACACTTTCGTTATTCAGTTTTGTTATATTTTCTACCTTTTCTCTAAAAATGATCAATTCCAAAGCATATTAAAGGTGCATTTTAAAGGACTTCAATCAACGTATTCTAATCCGTGTACATCATAGCATAAGCACAGATGTTTACACACCATAGATGTTGTATAGGCTCAAACGATAATGGACACTAATGTTACAGAAGAGCAACCGAAACTTCACACATACATGCTTACATTTCAATGATGATATTTTGATTATGTCAGTTTGTGGTGAAGTCTGGAAGCGGGTGAATGGGAAAAGTGTACGATACACTGTCTTTTCCTCCCGCACCTTCCGTGTAACATAAAAACTCCTCTCCCTGCTAGTCTTCATTGCCAATGCTTCCTAATGTATTCCACATTCCTATAAACCCAGTATTATCGTCAAATTATGGTTACAATACAGTATATATCTGTGTAACCACGCTTGTATCTGCGACACCTGTAGACACAGATCTGCTAATGGATAAAACGTCCGTAGATCAGATGCTATTGTTCTCATACAGTCGGACTTAGAACAGTGTAGACTTTGAGTTGATAGAGTACTATGAAACGATATGATTGTGTTTATGCTGTTTGAAATTTATCTATTTTTAAACGGGCAAATACGGTAACATAGAGTTTTATATCGCATTATAAAATACAGTACCATTAATACGAGAGGCATTATATATAGTATCATAAAGTATGGCACGTTTAATACGAGAAGTTGTATATCAGGCCGCAGTTGCATTATTTGTCTTCAAACGAGGCTTGCCGAGTAGAGAAACATTTTGTAAACCTGCGACTGGGATTTCCTTGTAACGGTCCAAATCCCAACGTAGATTCTTTTTCTCACCCAATATATTAATTTGAAGTAAAAAAAAAATAACTCCTCACTTGTGTGATGCAGTTCAAGCGCAATTGTTTATATGCGGTACATTAATACAAATATGTCAATGAGGACTGTGGCGTGACCGTGTCATCCGAAGTACATAGTTTTATGCGTGAGCAAAGAAAAATAACATCATAAAGCGTCGCATAGTAAGCAGTTATTATCACATTATTATATGGATGTTATATGAAATTACCAATAAATAATTAATATTTTTTATAAGTAACTGTTTCATTTGCATCAGTTGCAATACTGAAAAGTTATATTGTAAATAATGAAACGATACTGGGTAGTTAGTTCTACTGTAGTTATACTTAGTACAAGCTGTAACGAAGAGTAACAAGTTGCATTAGATTATTCATGGGTAATTAGATATCTGTGTTACTATCGTATATAACTCTCCGTTTCTTTGGAGGAGGTGAAACTGCCTGTGACATACTTGTGTTGTCTTTAATATTGATTGTAAAATTACCCCCACCCGTATAAAAGACCCTTCAAATACGGACATTAGCAGATTACTACGTGCTAAACTTTCAAGTTTACATATTCTTTGAAAATTAATTTTTCTGTCTTGGAAATATGACAAGTGCTACAATGGAATTTTCTTATGAATTAATGTGTTGACGAATAAATGATTCCTTCTGGCTGATAAGTGCATTATTTGTAGTTAACTATTGTATGTATATTTTGATTCAACTGGGACACACTGCAGATGCTTAACAAAATTAGAATAAAGCATGTTTAATATAATACAGTTCTGGCTGTTACTAAGTTTTATGTAGTTGCTCAGAGACTTGGGAGGCTATGAAGTGTATAGGTCTATAGTCTTTGTGCATGGATCAGTGTTTCTGTCATAGTTCATTTCACACAGCGTTGAGAATTTTTAGCGTCATTAAATGTTGCTAACAGTATATAATTTGTTTCACACAGCATTTAAAACTAGTTAGGTAGCTTTAGCTACATTTAATGACGCTGACCTGAACATGTACTGAGCTAGGCCTGCATATAGGATAAAATTGACCATACTGTGTGGAACGAACTAGCAAAATACAAAAAAGCTCGATATCGTGTGCGTGTGTCTTTGTCTCTCGAAATGTTTTGTATGATGTGTTCTCAAAAATGGATTGACCTTAAGCTACTATGTTTTTGTTATATATTTGTTGTTGTTTCTCCTTGATTTTAGAAAATTTACACCAGGAACATCAGAAGGCAACAAAGGTTTCTTTTTTAAAGTAGTTCTGAGGGCGTGGATACCTTGACTAAGACGACTGGTCTAAGATGACTAGACTGAGATAAGAAAAGTAAGGTTATCAAAACGGCTAGATTTCTCTCTCTCTCTCTCTCTCTCTCTCTCTCTCTCTGCGGCATGGGTGACACACACACACACACACACACACACACACACACACACACAGACACACACACACGGCTATACACCATCCAGGCAAAATGAGTAGAAAAATGTATGCCAGGGACTTTAGCGGGAAGGATTCTATTTACATTTTGTTCCCGATTTGCCTGGTGTGACAAAGGAAATATACAAAAAAGGAAATACTTTTCAAAGTTTGTAGTGACTAAAAGTTACCGATTGAAAATATTTAAATTATTTAGTTATAATACCCGTAACTACTATTGATGGCGTTAATGCAACCACAGCTGGTCCTGTCGCTAATGTTACTAAACAAGTACTACAACTTCTACAACCTCAATCCTACTACACACACCTTTCTTACTGTAACTAAAATGACATACACAAACGGGTCGATTTTTAAGAAACAACAACACTTTGCATTATGGTTTCATAAAATTGATCGAAAGACCGATGCAGCAAATGAATTTAAGTGTATTTTATATAACAACGTTAAGAATCATCTTTAATAGATCTCCACGTCCCTTCCTTTTTGAGATTTTCTGTTGTCCACCTATTCCATTGTTATGTGCTGCACAAAACTGATATATACGGTATTAAATTATCAGGGCATGAAGTTGATCAATAGTAAGTGAAGGACGCGGAATACGGCTGTGACAGATCACTGCAACAGTGGAAATACGCAATCAGGTAATACATTCCTTTTTCGGTTATATTTAGAGTGATTTGTTTTCGATAAATATTACTGGAATTGATCAGTTTAACTTCTTAATTACGATGGTTAATACACGAAGACAATTAGGAACTAAAATGTGTTAACTGAACGTGTTTGTATCACAAGCAATCAAGGCTAACATCCATATACAGGTGTGCAAGTGCGTGTTTTTGATGCAGGTGAGTTTACTCGTGTTTTTGAAGCAGGTGAGTTTAGTCCTTTTCTTTACAGGTACGACTTCTGTTTCAGGTTTTGAAAAGGCCTGCAAAAGGTAAGTAATTTTTTTACAAAAATTTCTTACAGTTACGATAATTGATATTCTGACGTATTATACGGACCTTTTTGCGCGCATTGCCTCTCCCTCGCCCATCCCCAACTCAACACAACAGGCACTACGTACTTATTTTTTTTTTACTTTTGTGTTGTAGTCTAACGAACATATAGCAATATTGTAAACTGTTTTGCCAGTCAGGCTAATGAATTATACAGTGTATAAATATACTCTTTGTTCACAGCAGTCAGGCATACCATTGATACTGTAAACACTGTTTTTCATAGTAGTTGGGTATATATAGCTTCCAAAAGGGTTGACATTCCCTGTCGTAAAAGAAAAAAAAAATCAGAAACTGAACAAATAAACGCCAATTTAACACTGAATGTAGAATTAACAACAGAGATCTAAATAGGTCAATGGAATTAAAATCTTTCAAAGGATCTAAACCTGACAATGGATTTGTACAAAGGTAGAACTGAATCTGTGATGCTTACAATGCAGTGAGCACCATACACCAGCTTATGTGATACTTTTGAATACATTATTTCGTATGAATAATTTTCGTGACAAATCTTTTTACGAAACTACTCTATTTGTTTATAATTTCCCACGATATTCAATGAGGATCATTGTAAAGACGGACATAAATCGTTTAATTAGCCATCGAAAGTTCAAGGCTTTCGTTATATAAATTTTCGGCAGTGTAAGAAGCCGCTATAATTCCACAGAGGTGACATCCCTAGAATAATCACGTGTCACTATTGTACATTTCGTAATTTGCAATGAATTTATCTTTTTTCTGTAATGATCAATGTTGTTGTTGTTGTTGTTGTTGTTGTTGTTGTTGTTGTTGTTGTTGTTGTTGTAGGGTTTAACGCCATTGCAGCACAATATAAGCTATAAATGGCGGCCAGTATATATGGTGAGGAAGAACCGGGAAAACACCGGAAAGAACCATCGACTTACGAGAATCTACTGGCAAGCTTCCTCACGTACCCACATTGGCTGAACCCGAAACTCGAACCAACACAGAGGTGAAATAGAAGTGTCCGTACAACGGTGAGCGCATTAGACCACTCAGCCACTCGGGGCCCTGAATGACAAATGTAATATCTTCCAGAAGGGAAAAAAAGCCAAGACCAAACAAACTTGTTTTCAAACTAAACAAATGATCAAGAACAATTTCTGACATAATCTTTGACTAAAAATCAGATAATAAGTTAGATCGCGCACCCGTTCCAGGGAAAGAATCATTTGACATATCCAGTTTTATCATTACAAGAGCAAACCGCTCAGGTGGCCTAGTGGTTAGAGCATCCGCCTCAGGTGCGAGAGGACGTGGGTTCGAGCCCCGTCCGAATCATATCAAAGACTAACAAAAATGGTGCTAACAGCTGCCTCGCTTGACGATCAGCATTAAGAGGTTATTGTTAGTCCTGGTCGGCCTGGTGTCAGGATAATGTGACTGGGTGGAACATCATGCTACATGTCTGCGGCATGATACCCCAGTGCTAGACATCAAAACTGCCACACTGCAGACATCGTAGTGATATGACTGAATAATTGTTAAAGCTACGTTAAAAATCATAATCACATCACATTACAAGGGCCTAGTCCCACTAATGGGACCTGTTCTGTCTGTGTGAGGAGAAGGAAAGTTATTATTAAAACTTTCACAGACTTTATTAGTGAAGCCGATACCGCACCAGTCATCTAGTGGTTAGAGCATCCACCTATTACCATTGCGGATTAGACTCCGTTCGAGTCATACCATTTTTTATTTTAAAAAAATGGTACTAACAGATGCCTCGCTAGGCGCTCGGCTTTAAGAACTTAGTGTTAGGACTGATAGGCCATGACTGGATGGGACATTATGCAACATGTCTGCGCATCAGGAACTAATGGCAATGCCTTTTGAAGTACTTCATAGATCTAATTTCATTCGTTATTGTAATTCTCTCTCTCTCTCTCTCTCTCTCTCTCTCTCTCTCTCTCTCTCTCTCTCTCTCTCTCTCTCTCTCTCTCTCTCTCTCTCTCTCTCTCTCTCTCTGAACTATTGCCTTCTTCAAATATCGTTATTAATTTGTTCTTCCTTGCATGCATAAAGCCCACATAATTTCATATCGCATTTGCGATAAACTATACATTTTCTCTTCTCATATAAAACCCACAAGACTGATTTAACACAACAAACCAGACAAAGCTAACTTTCTGATTCTGGGTTAAGCGTGTGAGATCACAGCTTTTAGCAGGCCCAAGCCCCGTTGGCTATGTTGAATAGCTTTTAGCTGGTCTAACCCTCATTGGTTATGCTGAACAGCTGTGCAGATAAATAGAGATCTATTAGAAAGAAAGAATTTGGCCTGAGACAATGGCATACATTCATTTCACATTTTTTTAAAATGCTTTCTTTGCAGTTGTCCAGTTGTGGATGGTAATACATTGAACTTCACGAATTAAGGCCTTTTTAAAATTAAAAAAATAGCTGTTGCCAACGTTTATTTACTGGAGTGGTAATATGACAGAATAAGCTGCCCGTACATACTGTTGTCAAACAGATCCATTAGGTTCAGCATGTTCGGTAGCTAATATCATTGTGCCCTTCGGCAAGGGGCATGACGAATCGTACCAATATTTCATTTTATGTAGGCATTCATGTTGACGTTGTGAAATCAGGCTACTTTATACACCCAATTATGCAATATTTTACAAATATACTTAATGATGGATGTAGGGCAATTTATTTTAACATTGCAAAATTATGTATTTCGTGGTATTTCCTAGAGGTAAAGTTACGCAATGTCGTGGTAGCAATATGAGTTACCTTATTCATCATTTCATTAGGTAGGCACATACCAAGTTTAATCTGACAGAAAAATGGAAGTTGCATACGTGCAAAAACTTATGCAGAAGCCAAACAAATGAAAGATCTGTTGGAAAATAAGTGTTTTTATATAAGAAAATCAAAACAACAAAACCTTTAACGCCGGTATTACACAACCAGTGGACTGATCTCCAAGTATTAAATACTGCATACATTGCCCCACCCTTTCATACACTACACTACACTACAGTACACTACAGGACACAGTGAGACTGGAAACCTTACGCGATCAATAATTAGTGGTCTTGCTTGTTACAGTGTCTAGGCACTAAATAGTCTACTTCTACTAGGCCTTCTGTATCGTTAAATATTATAACACGCCAGAAGTCTCACTACCGTGTAAATCTTTCGCGGGAGTCTGGCTTGAGGTCGATGACCCTATTTCACATGTCATCAGTCGTGAAATAAACGGTTCTACAATAGTATCATGTATACTGTACATTGTGACGTATGATCCAAGTAATTGGCTATTAACTCGGTTTGAGAACTTTCTTCCCAACAGACTCCCGATACTCAAACAAATACTTATTCAAATCAAAGAAAGCCATAAACGTAGATCTCAATATAAAATACCCAGTGTTCGTTACTATAACAAACAAACAAAAATATAAAAACTGCCCATTACTACTACTACTACTACTACTACTACTACTACTACTACTACTACTACTACTTTTTGATATTACTAATACTTTGCTACTTCCATTGCAAATTGTCGTATCTGTATCCTTTTTAAAGTTGTTTTACCTTGATGTCCTCCTCTATCTTCCGCGTGTTATGCGCGTAAGAGTTCGATTTACGAACACAGTTGTTCCTTCAAAATCTTTTCAAAAAGCAATACGGCGTGATTGCTTGTAAAATGGGCGCCTTTTTGTCAGCAAATGCTGAGGGCTTTTGTTTAAGATTGCTACCATTACGATTCTGAAGTCTAGATTCCGAAAATACACATTCTTCCATTGAGTGGAATTTGCAAAGAAATTCAAATGCTTTGTTGCTACACCCACAGGAAAAACAAAAACGTTACGGAAGCGTGTTATGTAAAAGGTTAGAGACAGATGAAAGGAATGCTTACTTCAAAGATTGGGGTGGGGTGGGGTGGGTGGGGTGTTACTTTAGTATCGTTTGGGCATAGATAGATCAGTCAGCATTATATCATGAATAGCGAACTTTGACAAGTTGTAAAAAGGGGCATTACCATTTTGGAAAACTAATGGCTAGAGGCAAGAAATTCGAATATTCACAAAGGAGATTCGGCATCAACTTTATCTTTTTGTAGGTTCAGTTTGAGCTTTCTTTTTAAATTCTAATACACTATGCCTACGAGAGATCATATTACATTTACCTCATTCAGAATTTTGCCTACGAGAGATGATATTACATTTACCTCATTCAGAATTTTGCCTACGACATATCGTATTACATTTACCTCAATCATAATTTTGCCTACGAGAGATCGTATTACATTTACATTATTCAAAATTTTGCCTACGAGAGATCATATTAATTTACATCATTCAGAATTTTGCCTACGAGAGATGATATTACATTTACCTCATTCAGAATTTTGCCTACGAGAGATCATATTACATTTACCTCATTCAGAATTTTGCCTACGAGATCATATTACATTTACGTCATTCAGAATTTTGTCATTATTATTTATTATAATAACTTTATCTGACTTTCTTCCTATAGGATATTCCACCCGCTGGGCAAGGATTTGTTTATAGCTCTTGTGGATGATAACGTGAATATACACCTGGTGTTTAATTGCATCTCTACGCAGGATCAATAATTAATTAAGAGGAACTCGCATCGTCATGCAGTCCATTAGATAAGGAGATGTAACGCACACAAAGAAACCACGTGGCTGAATAGACTGATTTAAGGAAAAGTTGATATAACTCGGGGCATCTGAGTTAATCATATCAGGGCGCAAGACCAATAAAGACAACAGCCAGTGAATGGTCTATTGTGTATATTTACGGATTATATTAACAGTTTAAATACTCAGTTTTCAATCCTTGATAGGGCAAGTGGTTTAAAATCTAGCTTGCCTATAAAAGAAGTTCGAAACCTATTGATTGATTTTAAGCCGTTCACTTTATTTATTAATGTTATGAAAATCATAAATCGTGTTGTTGAAGGGCATATAAAGATAAGCCGTGTACGTCAGCTTTGATTAAAGGTCCGATCAGTGAATTTTATGCCCTTTTATCTTCTCGGATAAACGCATCAGATTAAAAATGAAACCCTGTCGCCGTTTGTCTTTTAAAGGACGAATTTTGGTCCTGTGTTGCATTATCTGTCTTTTGTTTTATATGCAAATGTTTACAAACACAAGTTTTGAACAGAATTCGAGTAATATAGAATACTTTGCGGACAAAACATGGAAGAATAAAACTAGGAAACTAATTCTGCTTTGGACGAAATTCTGGTCTCTGGAGTATTGGACCGAGGTAGATAAATTCGGAATACCTCCATGCGCCAGTCGGTGCGACATTACTGTAGATAAATCAAGAATAGAAGAAGCAGACGCCGTGTTGTTTCACTGGGGAAACTTGTGGTGGTATACTGATTTGCCTATTTACAGGCGTTCCGATCAAGTATGGGTTTTCTACAATGCAGAACCACTTCACAAACAATCGAACTTAGCGCCATGGAGAAATGTATTTAATTGGTCAATGTCGTACAGGACGGATTCAACAGTATTTTCGCCATTTGGAATTTATTTTGAGATGACTGATAAGGAGAAAGCTGAAGCTAGAGAGAAATTTTCAAACAGAAATTTTGCAATGGAAAAGAAGTCCAATATTTCAATGACGTATAGCAACTGTTATGATGATGCTAGACGATATAGAACTGCAGACAACATTAACAAGTACATTAAAATTGACATTTTTGGAAGGTGTGGAGGGAAGGACGATTGCAAATTTAATACTCCAGAGTGTAATTCAAAGCTAAGCAGTTATAAATTTCATCTAGCTTTGGATAATAGTTTCTGTAAGGATTACTTTTCTGAAAAATTTTGGGAATGTCTTGAAAAAGACGTAATTCCTATCGTTGCTTGGAAACAGTCGCCTGGAAAATTAGTGCCACCAAAGTCGTACATTAACATTTTCGATTTTCCTGATATTAAGTCATTTGCAAAGTTCATAGAATCTTTGATGAGAAATGATGCAGAGTATAATAGCTATTTTGAGTGGAAACAGAAGTATACTTTTACCAACACGTACAACAGGCATTGGTGTCCACTCTGTGATGCTTTGTTCAATAGCACTATTCCTCACCAAGTTGTCAAGGATCCGTATAGATGGCTGGCTGACGACTTTTGTGAACCCGTCAGTGTAGGTTCTCTCTCTCTCTCTCTCTCTCTCTCTCTCTCTCTCTCTCTCTCTCTCTCTCTCTCTCTCTCTCTCTCTCTCTCTCTCTCTCTCTCTCTTGTAATCTATCTATTTCGTAGCTATATTAATACTATA